AAGAGGCCATCCCTAGACTGGCCTGGTTTTTAATGGAACTCCTCTGGAGCAACGAGAGGTCATCCCTAGAGCAGCCTGATTTTTGGTGGGACCACCTCTGGAGCCATGAGAGGCCATTCCTAGACTGGCTGATTTTGGCAGGAGACCCTTCTAGGCCTTTGAATCCACCCAAGACGATCCCAAGAAAACTTTAGTATTAGTATTCGTATTATGTTCTGTTGTTTTGTTGTGTTGTTGTTGTTATTATGGTTTCCCTTTCATGGTTCTGATGCTGCAGACAGCTTTCTTCTGCTTTAAAAATAAAAATGAAAAAATAATAATCAACCCACCCCTGGGGTTCTTTTGGAGCTAAAATTAAACCCAATGGATGGATGGGTAATTCGCCTGACACCTTGCCTCCTCGCGGCCCCCCCCATTCTTGACCCACTTTTCGCCTCAGCAGAGATAAATCTCCTTGCAACTATTATTATGGGGTTCCCCCCCCCCTTCTCATGGGTCTGTTCGGAAGCGGCAGATGGAAAAGCTGTTTCCAGAAGGATCCGGCTGTGATCGCCCTGGGTGGGGCGGTAGGATGGCATCTCCTGCCCAGCAGGACCCTGGGAAGAAGCGGGGGCTCCAAAATAAACTCTTCTGACAGGCTGCGGCATCCCATGCAAACCCAGGCAGGGTGTTGTTGCAGTAGAATATGTTGGGAGCTGGGGGTTTGAATTGGGGTGGGGGGGATGTCTGTTAGGGGTCTCTGAGGTTTTCCGTGCAGACAACTCGTGATTCAGCTGGGGAACGTCATCAGTGCTAGAAAGGAGGAGGAGGGAGGGGAGGCAGGAAGGAAGGAAGGAAGGAAGGAAGGAAGGAAGGCTGAGGGGTCCGTGCTACTCTCTGAGATGGGTGGTTTTCTTGCAGACGTTTCATGACCCAACTAGAGAAAGTCATCAGTGCTAGAAAGGAGGAGGAGGAGAGCTGTGGGATCCTTGGTGTTCTCTGAGCTAGGTGGTTTTTCGTGGAGACCTTTCGTGACCCAACTAGGGAACGTCACCAGTGCTAGAGGGAGAAAGATGGAGGGTGGGGAGGAGGAGGAGGAGTAAAGATTGTATAGTATAGTGTTAGAGCAGTGATGACTAACCTTTTCAGCACCGAGTGCCCCGCCCCCTCGT